GGATGAAAAATTGTGAATCAAATTCACGGAAATAAGATTGTTTTTGTCACACCACCTAAGAAAAAAAAAATACTATGCCTCTGTATTTCATCCGTTCGTACAAATGTTTCATACCTTCTGCACCTCTTCTGGCTTTGAACATCCTCGAAACATACTGTTGGGATGATCGTCACAGCACCATTTTTCAGGGATTCCATTGATTTCATACGGAGCATGATACTCAACATGACGCCACTTCAGGCATTTATCTAAAACGGCACTTATCTTAATAAATAAATAGATAAATTCCTGAGCTATGAGCGTGCATAATTAATAAATGATAAATGAATAAATAAATGAATAAATACTACTGAAAACAAAAAAGGAGAAATAAAATATTGACGTGGGAAAGTGCGCTACCGGCCTAATTGCTGTAAAAAAAAGTGCAAAAAGAAACATTGCAATAGCACAGACATTAAATGTAATGATATCTCACCGCACTGTATAGTGTGACCAATCCTCAGGAACCGTTTCTTGCGATGCTCTGCCAGATTTGTGCATTCCGAACTCCAGTCCGAGTTTTCGTAACCAAAGTTCTTCCTGCAACAAACAAGCAGATAGTAGCAAAGAGACTATCAAAGTCAGTGGTCAGCCATATATACAACTGAAGGTAACTATTACATTACAAAGATGCTCTGTTATGGACAAAAGATTTGATCTCGTGCTGGTCTCGAACCTGGACCTCACGCTTACCGCGCTACCGTGCTCAGGACAACTCAGTCCACTTATTCTTATTACTTTAATAAAACAAGTCTAAGAGTGCGTTCATCTTTTGCATCATCACTTTGAGCGCCCGCCAGCATTCTCATCGACTAGCAAGGTACCGTATTGATTACTGCTAGAAACACTCGCGGACGCTAAAAATGTTGATGCTCAAATGCTGCTGAACGCCCAGAACGCTCAAAATGCTCGCGGACGCTCGAAACGCCGACAGCCGCTTGGGCTGTTGCAGAGGTGAACACATTCTAAAACTATCAAATCACTGAGCACTACATATAACTATACGACCTCGTAAGACGTATGATTTGACTACAACGCACTAACCAAAATGATTTGATGCCGCTTGGACCATCACTGCCGGCCAAATTGATGTCCTTCCAATATTGTTCCATGTGATCATTCATAGCGCGAAGCAAAGAAAGATATTCTCTGAAACACAGCAAAAAATAGCAACCAGTAAAACAGTAAAATAACAAAGGACCAAAAAAACTTCCTAAACCATGATCTTGAAAAAAGTCATAGTCAGGATCCAAACCCCAAGCTCCAAGGAAGAAACCTTTAATCAACCAGTTCAGTTTCTTCGGAATAGCTTTTCGACGTGAACTCGACCTGATCAAACGTAGTTTTCAAGTGCAGTTTCAAAAAGTCAGAAAAGTTGCTAAAAAGGTTCACGACGCTGGCTTATTCCAGGGTTTTATGTTCGCTACTGTGACTCCCAGATTTCAAGTGGGTGTGAATTGTCATTCCAAAACAGAATGCTTTTAAAGACAGCCCCGCGCGCTAGTACATGGTCGTCCTTCCTTGTGCAAGTAGTACAGCCCCCAAGCTAGAGACTGTCCCACTCTCGCAACTCCACAGCGAGCGATTAGCGAGCTACAGCCGCTGAAAGTTCTAGTTCTAACGCCGCCCAGTTGGACCGCCCACTTGCTAGATGCCCTCTGACGGAGGGCCGCTCAGTTGTTCTTTGTTGGGGCGGCGGGCATTAATCGGAATTGCATGTCCTTTTCGCTGACAGCGCTCATGCCCATGAATGATTCTGCTCTCCTTTATTACATTTTATTAATCAGGAGCACATACAGTCAACTCCAACACATCTCGCAAGATAAAACGCGTAAAAATCACGAGCGACCCAATTTTCGTGGTGCAAAAGCTCGACGCACTTCACTACACTAAAATATGCACGCTACCGTAACCCTAAATTCGGACGTCGAGTTTTTGAAAGTTTCTTCTTTTCAAGAGTTTTTACTCTGTGTTTTTGTTGTTTTTTGTATTCTTTTCTTTGCATTGGATGATATCAACTACTGCGAGATGTGATAGAGAGATTTGTGAGCCAGGGGTTGCACAGAGACCGCAGGGAGGTGTGACTGTCAGGGAGCGATTTTGTTTATGGTGTTCTTGAGGACTCTTCTTGCTTTTTTTCTTCTTTGGGGAATTACTTATCAGCTACTGTTTCATAATTGAACAGCAACTATCCATGACACTTTATCGCGGGAGCTGTCTTTAAGGAACAAAAAAAAATGAACAAAACAACAAACAAAGAACAAAAAAATGCCAGTAGATATTTGAATGCATACCTTTTATTTTCGAAACTCTGCTTATTGTGTGTTGGTTCCAAAATGGAGTACGGCACGTCTACCACTCCAACAACACCAAGACATTTCCTTAAAATATTTTCAGTCAAAAGCTCATGAAAAAACAGCGACGAAAACGACTTGAAAGCAAAGACACACAGAACTCTTAGAGGCCACTTTGGCCGCTATACAAGTGATGCGGGTATATTTTTGTGCAATCCTAAGGAAAAAGAAGCCCAGGAGTCGGCGTATGATTCTTTTGCTGTGGCCTTAGGCACCTTCCCTGTTTCAGAAGACTCACCTTGCTAGGTCAGCGCCCTGTTTTGTAAGAAAGGTCATTCAACTAAGCAAACTCACATCATCAAATCATTCTTTTCCTTTTGTACTGCTGCTTTCACATACATTTCAATCAATCTGCCGTTGTTATATAACATGCAACCGTATCGGTTCCTTAAAAAGTAGAGTTTAAGATCCAGTCAAGTCCACACTCAGTTTTGCTATGGAAAAAATTGTAACCTATGATGGATGTTGAGCCCAAAGTAGAACGTCAATGGAATAGGGTTATTTTTAGCCTGCAAAATAGCATTGCTCGCCAATTAAGAAAAACTGAAATCATAGGAAACTGGTGTCAAACTTTTATACCTTCAGCGCCAATGATGCACGCTTCTCAGCTTGTTCTTTCTTCGCTTCCATATCGGCTCGAGCCCTATATAGGACATATTACTCTTCCACAATACAACTTCTAAATGCACTTTAAAAACGCACTTTGCAAGCAGCCGCTGCTCTATTCGAAGGGTCTTATTAGCGTGGATATTCTGACCACGGTGCTTTGCTTCGAATTCGCCAAGAGCTGATGACGACAAGCCGAAGCATTTCTTTCACTGAAAATTCCAAAAATTTACAGTTATAGCGATTATGTTATGTTGTGTTATAGCCCCATAAACAGATTATTTCTCCATTTAATGATGGAGCGGAGAAAGGGAAAGAGGTGTGGAAAAGGGCCAACGACCCCCCCCGCTCCCTTCAGAGGATGATCGGATCTTTTTTTCAAACCTGTAATTCGGTACTTACAAGGAAAGGATGGTTGGTCGAAGTGGCCATTTAAGACAAGATGCATACACACTGATGCGTCTTCGGACGCTGATTTCAAATCTGCTTTCCATATCTGCTAAACGATTCTCTGAGCAGAGATATGCAGGAGGTTGTTGTACGGAGCACAATTGGGTACACAAATGAGACGTGAGGCGTCACACGTAGAGCATCGGTGGCCTAGCGGATAGTATGCCGCGCTCAAGTATGCGAGGCGAGAGGTTCGAATCCCTCCATGATCCCTCGTTTTGCATTTTCTCAAAAATGCCTCCTGCACATCCGGAAAGCACTTCTGCGAGGCTAGGAGACCTGATTCTACCAAAAAATTTTATTTCTGATGTGATAGAGCCATTCTGGAACACTCCTAGTGGGAACTCCTGATTGTTGGTTTCGGCGGCATTATTCGTTCCGTCGTGTTGTGAGGCCAAACTGATTCCAGATGGCATGGAAGCCAAAAGTGGATGTCGTGGTTGTTATCAGGACCGTCAGTAACCAACAAGGACTAAGATTTAGCGAGGAACCTCCACTGCTCACAGAGATTTGAATCGGCGATAGTGCCAGCAACCTTTAGGAATTGGCTGCCTATGGTTACCCCACTGTATCGAAAATAGGTCGAAATCTCAAATTTGGTTGAAAACTTGTCTCTAGGGCTAATTTGAGCCCCAGAGCACGAATATCACACTCGTTTGGCGTAAAAACGCTTGCCAAGGACGTTGCAGGTTCCTGCACACCCTGCCCCTCCAGAATGCGTACAAGACGTTTTCACGAAATATAACTGCAGTGTTGATTTCCAGGGCTGATGCACTTCTAATTTCAGGATTCCAGCCAATTTGGGCAATTTGGAGCACCTCATATACATGCTGGAAATGGGTGTGACCTGGTCAAAAATCCTGCATAACTTTGTCCAGGAAATCGTTTAGCAGATATGGAGGGCAGATTTGTAATCAGCGTCCAAGGGCCCATCGGGCAGTATACGTCTCATTTCGAATGGCCACTTCGACCAACCATCCTTTCCTTGTTAGTCAATTCTGAGGACCCCAGACATACCGCTTTGCTATGCAACGTATGTAACACCACGTTACGACTAAGGGGCAAGCCGAGACTGGAATGGAAGCGACTCCATGCTCCTAATACAGGTCTATATTACAGTCTGTACACGAAAAAAGTTCTTGCATAAATAATTTGTCCTGTTCCTGAGGGCTACGCTTGTTGTCGGAGGATCCATAAGTTGTGGGGAGGGGATGGGGAGGGGGGGAAGGAAGTCGTATTTACTTGTTGCTTCGAGAAGGGGGAGGGCGTATCTGGCTTCGAGATTTTTTCGTGTGCGAGAGATTTTCTCTGAAAGCTGACTTTTCACGGCTTCTTTCTCGTTTCGCATGGGCTAATCACCTCTCTCCACTCCTTTCTTCAAAGGCAGAAGTTTGGGGGAAAAACCGATAATTTAAGAAAATTAAGGAAAAAGTGGTAGGGAGATAGGAAATTTGAGGGGGTGAAGCCCGCCAAACAATCCCCAGCAACAGGACGTGCCCTGATTACAGTAGCAATTATCCCATGGACAGCAGTATCCTGTACTTTGGAAGATCAAGGTACGACAAGAACAAGGTTAAATATGCTCTTCAAATAAGTAACTAATGGTAGCAAAATAACAAATTGCTCTATCGTACAATACTTACCCTCTTTCACTTTCTGTTCGCATCTCTCGAATTCCTTTGTAGCACATGCTTTCAGATTTTTCGCTGTATAATTGTATCTATACGGGTATAATAAAGTACTCAAGATCCTCTTTGTTAACACTTTCTTGCCACGAAGATAGACCTAAAACAGGGGTTTAACTGAGCACAGGTTCTTCTATGGAGCGAGAATAGTTTTCATACCTTCATACGCGGGTTGAGATAAAGTACAGACAAGTACGCTCTCAAGGAGTTGCGCTCCTCCTCCCTGAAATACCAGGCCAGTAATATCGACGAAAAAGTGGCTAGAAAATCGTAGTCATAGGAGGAACGGTGCTATCAGAGATGAAGCAGTTGAGAAACTAGATCACGACCACACTAGTCGTCACGCTGTACAGCCTATGTAGAAAGGAATTACCATCTCGTTGGAAGGGTGAGCACAGATAGTCGCACCGCAACGCCACCTCCGCCCCCTTTTACTCCAGTTTCACTTCTCACTTACGGGGTAATGCTCATGGAAATCACAAAATACTGCTTTCTTCGAGGTAGACATACCTTTGCTCCTCAAAATTCGACAGTCGTACATCATATGGCGTATCAAAGTTTAGTTCGAAATCACCAGTTTCGATACGTCTCATGTTGAACAGCACGATAAGTGTACCTGATTGGCCACTAATACGTTCAAACTGTTCAAAAAGTGCGTCCTGAAATTTGCACGATATTAGTGGAATACCCATAATATAAGTGAATCGATGCAAGAATGCAGGAAAATCATTACCTGAGAATCAAAAGGCGTGTAATTGTAGATCACGTCCATCGACTGAGAGTGCTAAAATAAAGAAAATGGTAACTTTATCACATAAAAATGAAGAGTAATTAAGAATGAAGTCTTCCCAGGCGACCGATCCTTTTTGGGACATGCACGCATTCCTCTTCCATTCAGAATTTTAGTGACTTAATGGATGCGATGTGGCTTATGCAATGACTTGCAGAGGCCAGTCGCTGTAAAGTCAGCGTTCCTTATCTCTTCAGACCAATCCTGCACCAATTTACTGTCCTCGGAGGGTAGAGGGCTTGATTGGCTTGGACGGAAGCCCAAGATTATACCCCCACCGCCGTTAACCGTGCCGCTAACCACTGCAACAACCTCGCCTCACGATATACGATATTATCCAGTAAAAAAAAGGAAGGCCAAAATAAAACAAAATAAAGTAATATAAACATTTATAAGAAGACATAGTATGTGGGGGTAAACGCTTAGAGGTCACCGTATTAACAACACAATTATGGAGAGAACATGGCGTGTGGTGGTTTAGGACCTACCGTACTAAATACTGGAACATAATACTAACGATATAAATATTTACCCCGAAATCCCTCGAAGAAAGTCTTATCATAGAGCAGACAGGACTAGCGCAAATAACAATAACGCTAATATGACCATACGCGGGAGGGGCAAATCTCGGTTCAGCTTCTGCCTGGCGCCAACCAAGCTCTCAGCACAGGGGCCGGCAAAGTGGCTCCAGATTTTTTTTGGGGAGATAAAAACGTCTGGCTCCTGTAAGCCACTGCATAGACTGTAATCGCATTTAACAACCCTTTCGATTTCGAACAAAATTAGAAGGAGTGCCATATTCCCAAATGGGACTTATCAACCATGAAAGATTTGTCCTTTTTTGTTCCTACTTCAGTCCCCTTTTCCGTTCTTGCTCGCACTTTGTGGTAACGGACACATCGCATCAAGAATGATCAAGAATGCACGCAGTGAATACTTACCATCTTCGCCTGGGTTTGTGAATCACAGTACATAGCACGTGTACCGCCTTCCAATGTGAATGACGCGACTGGTACGAAAACCTAAAAATACTCTCCGTTCGACTCATGCATTTATTCATACAGTCACAAAATCTTCCTACTGGTAGAATACAGTGAGCACATGCGAAACTTCACACCTCCTTCAATGAGTACATTTCATGAAACGTTCTTGATAACAACAAACACGTCAGCAACCCATCTTTCTTCGTAAACATAATGAAATCTTTGGCAATACGCATCGCACCGCTGAAATTCGGACAAGTAACAAAAAGAACAGTTAATAAACTTGTCAAGCCAACAGGGCGGTAAAAATCGAGAACACATTCCGCGATTGCAATTCATAGATCAGGGTTCACAAGGGCATTTTCAGATGCTTATTAATCCACCAGTAAAGGAGAAAGCTGATACAGCCGACGAAAATCTTAACAATAACAGGCTCGGCAGATTCTAAGAACAACTAAATAGGCGCAAATATGCTCACGCTAGCATGAGAGACCGGAAAATCTACAGGATAAAGACAAAAGAAACATGTAGGCATAGGGCATTTACATACTGTCAAGAATCAACTAATCTGAAGAAGGGCAACCAACCTAAACCACAACCCTTAGCGGTCCTAGCACGCATTTTTGAGTGGGAAAAATGAGACAAGCAAGATGTTACGGACCTGTGTAAGGTTAGAGCCCGTTCATACTTCGCGATCCAAGCGCGAGGGATGGCTACGATTGGAACAACGAACTTCGTACCGGCCAGGGGCGTTCGAGTGTTTGTACCCCGAGCCGATGGCGCTCTATCACCAATCGCTGGACGAAGCTCGGTGGAGAATCCAACAGGGCCATATACCGTATAAACGTGACCAATAACCTGCGCGATCAAAGCGATCAAATCGCGGAGTATGAACGCACTCTTATCAATCTTATACGGGGAAGAGATTCCTTCAACTAGGGGACCGTGAAATGTGCCTTTAATATCACCACCTACGAAGCATCCACTCACGATTTTAATCCATTTCCGTATTGTCCAATCATACCCGGCTCCATCCTTTTGAGGGAATGACCAAACGATACCACAGAAATAGCCTATAACAAGAAGAAATGAGGTAAGGCTCAACATTCATTTTCGACATTTTTATGGAGTTTTCTAGGAATGCATTTTAAATACCTCTTTTCTATCCATACCGCATCCGTCATCGAGTATAGATAACATACCACCGTATTCTTCATTTGGAGCTAAAATTGGACACTTTATCTTGCTGTTCATTGTCTTGCGCACATTCAGTCTTGCACTTCAATGGAAAACATGAAATAAGAGACATTGCAGACGTGAAATAAAAAAGAACGAGCTTATTTAGCCTCTGGGCTCAGAGTGCTCTAGGTACTTAAATCATTTTGCTTTTTGCACAAAGGCAAACAAAAGACCTGAATCACCGACGCCTAAGACTCCATGAGTTTTTTGACGAAAACCTCCATGTGATCATATCCGTTTCCCGGCATCTTACAGTATCAAAAGCCCCATCTCCCCAAAGCGCCACTATCAATAATGAAAAGTGAGAGTCATTTTAGATGAGAACAAATCTTACTGTAGTCGATATGTAAATTGTTTGCCATAGCATCTCGAGAGTTGTCCACAAGTTCAGCTATAGCACCGTAGACGAAATTCGTGAGTTGTACTGGAATTTTCATTGATTCTAACTGGTGGCAATCAAGGAAGAGGAAATATTGAAGTAAAATCC